TAGAAAATTCTAGACAGAGAAAGAAGGAAAGACCATGAACGTATCCACGTACAATCACAGCTGTATCAACGATATACAGCCGCCTGCAATTTTTTTTATTGATGAACATTTTGAACGTTAAAAAACAAATTCTCGCGAGGTACAGTATTGGACCTCAGTGGCGATGTTAGTTAGACAACAGTCACGCAGTATTGACGGAACAATGTGGAAAAATAGCTATCAGAACAAATAAACATGGTATCTGTTCGATTATTATTATCCAAAACGATCGTTCTTTATTTTTAAACATGCAGAAGGATGAATTCGTTTGAATAACCGTTAAATATTTCCGACTATCTATTGGTAATCCACCGTCTATCTTCTGGTCAGTCGTCTATCTATTGAGTGTTTGGGCTGTATCCCACTTTTTCGTCATTTCATCATTTATTCCTTTATTGTTTCTATTTCAAATCATTATTTCCCCATAATTCATATATTTTTTCAAATATCACGTATGGAAAAATGCTATAGGATTTCCTATAGGATATCCTATAGGATCCCCTATAGAATTTGCTATCAGATTTATGATCCTAATCCTGACCCTTGTGAATCAAAGCCAATCAGTCACAAGGGTCAGGATTAGGGTCAAAGGGTTTTGTGTGTTACTTTGTATAGAAAACCCTATAGTGAATTCTATAAGAAATCCTATAGAAAATCCTATAGGAAATCCCACCAAAAAAATCCTACAGGAAATATTCGAATTCTCCATAGGATTTCCTATAGGAAATCCTACAAGAAATTCTCCATAGGATTTCCTATAGGAAATCCGACAAGAAATTCTATAGGATTTTTTCATACGTGATAAAACCTATCGTTGGCGTATGTAATCAATTTTAAATCTCTTGACGGACCTCAACTTGTCTTTAACCGTCTATCTTTTGGTCTGGTTACTCTATTTGACCGATTTGGCGATTTTCTAATTTTGATTGAAAATGGTCTAGAATGTTATGGAACGTGAAAAAATGATGTTTTTAGAGTTATGTCTATGTGTAGGTATGTGATAACTTGGGTTTTTAGTGACGAATTTGTAGACAATTCAATATAAACACGGTGAAACTTGTAAATAAAAATCTGAAATTTTGCCTCATTGTAGCTACGATTGAACCCAACTTTGGCGCGCTGTTTCAGCACAATTGGTTTAAAAATTCGTGAGATATATAACAACTTGCACAAAAATCGCGATATGCACATTTAGTGAAAATTGACCGAAATCTTTTCGCAGATTGCCCTTGTCCTCACCATGTATCAACCTAAAACCAACATAGATGATGAGTTCACAAGCATCCTGACAACCCAAATATTTCTGTTCCAGGTGTCCTCAGTTATGGCGCTCAATACAGTAGTAGTGGAAAAAATTCGGAGTCTTCCCATCAAAATACCGCTGACGACCCCAATTCCAGAACAGGACCCTACTTCGACATGGCAGCATCGAAAAACGTCACAGCATTGCTGGGAAAAACAACGTACCTCAATTGTCGAGTGAAAAACCTGGGCAACAAGACCTCGGTACGTTTATTTCCATAAATACATTTTGTTTATAGAAATAATTTCACATCGCGAATATTTTGATACAAACATCCAGAAACAGTTATCGATCATCAACAATTGTAATACTTGCATATTTGAATACACAAAATGTATTCGTATTCTCGCTTCTCAGTACTACAGCGCACTCCTGCAAAATATTGAGTGTCAATATTTTACGGGCATAATGGAGCACCGCCTGTCGACGACAAACCGTGGGATGGTGAATCGAAAATACACTCACGGCCACCGGTCGTCCGGCTCTCGACAATGCCAATGACCAAAGTACGACACCATACCCCCGCAAGCACTATATATAATAATCTTCCACTGGCTGTGGGGACTTCTAGCTTCCACCACTACTATTAAACCAGTCGGGGTTCCTCTTTTTTTCCAGGATTTTTTTTTCACAAATCGTTCACTCCCGACGCGTACCGAGATAAATTAACCCCCAGCTTGGTTATCGACAATGGAAAAAATTGAAAAAAATGCAGGGAAAAGAAAAAATATTTTTCATGAGTCTTCGATTCTATGGGTTGTATTAAGGGCGAAATATGAATTATTTTCCAGCTTCGCAGGGACAAGGGGATTTGTGAAGTATTCAGAAAAAAATGAATATATATGCCGTACGTTCGGAAAACGGAGATATTTTCTAAAGGGCGGAGGATAATCTATCAGCGCGGAAAGGTGGAGGTTAGAGCGGAAAACAATTATGTGAGGAGTGGGGTTATTAATCATTGGGGGCTGGTCATAGACAAGGGTGCTGGTCCATTACTAGTTAACGAATGAAAATAACATAAGTTCGGCTCAATGGATATTGGGTTAATTGATTATGTATTGGGTATACACAAAGCACCGTCTGTTGAACCATGATAACATTGCTCACAGTCTCGGATCCAATATCTAAATGATGCGGTTGCTCGTTTTTTGCCCTATAGTTCATGAATTTGTGTTGTATTACTCAACTACATTTGAATTCTGGGAATTTTCCTGGAAAATTTGATACACTCGTTTCTTTGCTAGGAAGTTTGAGGGCAATATCTGATGAATTTTGAAGGTCCAGGGGTATTCGCAGGATTATTTTTCCCATTCGGATTTTGACCAATCAGAGCGCAGTATTCGAGGCTACCCGACAGTTCTATTTAGGATCTTTCCTCCTAGCTTTTGAATAATTCGCAGTAGCTCTTCATTTTTTTACCCGAATATTTCGCGGTAGCTCTTCATTTTTTCGACTCATTACAGATATACTGAACGAATAATACTGAACGAATAAACCGGATCCTGACAATTCGGATCCGGCATGGATACAAACAAGCGTTACGAGCTGATCCAAAACTGATCAAACCCAATGGTTACTGATCAGGCCCTTATTCCAGGTTGATTTGAATTTTTACTCGAGACGTTTCGCCAAAATGGGGAGAATATCTGTCAAATTAGTTGCAAATAATTGACAGGCTATGGGGAAATTATGAATGATAATTTCCCTGGGGCCGAAGAAATTATCACTGTGAAAGGTGTCACATGACCCTGAATCCTACATCTGATTGGGCAAAATCATAATTACGGACATTATCAAAATAAAACTCATCTGTAGATATCACATGACGCCGAATACTGCACTCTAATTGGTCAACAATAGAATGAAGGAAACTATCAATGGAATGATTGGAATTGTAATATCATAAAATATCAACGAAATAATTTTAATTTGAGAGCTCCAATATAAATTCAATAGAATTTTTCAAAGTGCTAGACTTTTCCATAATTTTTTTCTTCCGCCTGCAACTGTGCCTTTTGGTAATCGTCAAATGAAATTGGCGGGAGATAGGGATGTGTATGTGAAACATTGAATGATCAAACATGTCGGAAATAAAGGACACAAAAGTAGAAAGATGTGAGAAAAAACCGTTGAGAATGTGAAAATTTCTCATATCTGAAAGATATGCTGATAAAAATGGTTACGCAACTTTCTCTCAGGGCTTCTTTTCATACTCTCTATCCATTATTTTCTGCCCATTCCATTTCTTCACTTCCAAGTTTCTTTCTCCACGTATTACACGAGATAGAATATAGAAAGATGGTGTGAAAGGGGCGGATCTACGAAAGACCGTACGGTCGACGCTATTTACCTTATATTTCTACCCTCCACGAATTTATGATACAAGGGGGAGTCAGAACTGTATATGCTCGCTAAAAGCAGAGAACCCTTCCTCTGAGAACACTCTTTTCAGCCGAGAAAACTGCCAGGGAATTACCTGAAGGTGTAACCTCTTTAGTTACACTTTTTCGCCACCGTCAAATTTTCTTGCAAGGGGGTTGAGAGGTCAATGGTGTGAAAGACTGTGGGGAAAAGGACATGTAGTTATTTACGTTTGGTACTTAGAGGGTCGAATGAATAGAATCCGTACAAAAATTTTAATAGAAAAAACTAGTCAATTCGTTAGGAAATTCCATTGGATTTCTATTAAAATTTCTATTAGTTTTTGGCCGATTCTATTGAAATGTTCAATAAAAAAAAATAATAGAACTCTATTTTTCTGGATAACTTATTCTCTTCAAATATTTTCTACAGAATTTCCTCGGCTCAAATTTTCCAAGTTTTTTTCATTTCATTTTTTTTCTTCTCATCAAGAAAGTCAAACAAAAAAATTAGAAAATTTGAACCGAGGAAATTCTATAGAAAACATCTCAGTATAATAAATTGTATAAAAAAATTGAATTCTTTCAACTTTTTCAATAGAATATTTTCCATTGAACGTTTCAATAGTATCGGCCAAAAACTAATAGGAAGTTCAATAGAAATTAAATAGAATTGTGTAGCGAATTCGCTAGGTCTTTCTATTAAACTTTTTCCTGTGTGAAATGGACAGTGTTGGAGATTTCTATTTGGCATCAAGTCAAAATAATACTTAAACCCAGGTGGGAATTGACGATCGGGCCAAGCTTGGTCCTAGCTCTGGCCAAGACTTGCAATGCTAGGCGGGAGCTTGGAATCCAAGCTTGGACCAATCACGGTTAGAAACCGAAATGTAACGCTAATCCAAGCTTCGTGCACGATCTCCACCCAAGCTTGGTAATTGAGGTTGCTCCAAGCTACACACCGAGCTTTGCCCATTGTTGGACGAACACCTCATCCGAGCTTGTCAATCTAGGTTGGTCCAAGGCTCTGGCCGAGCTTCGTCCTGGATTGTGACATCTTAGGATTTAAAAAAATCTAGCCATGTAACCTTGATTGGTCCAGCGTTGGCTCAACTTTGGTGGAATAAATCAATAAATAAATAAACAATATAGAATAAGAATAAATAATGTATTCTTCGAGAATACATTCTATAGATAAATGGTAATGATATTTGAACAAGTAGTGCCATAAAAATTATCCTGAAGATAAAACTAGTCAAGTGGAATAATATTTTTAGGAAATATGTTTTTTTTTCTATCTAATCCTCCCCTCTCTTTCGTTTGGCACCACCTCCTTCACAATCACTCCAGCCTCCCAACCACGCACTCACTATGGATCCAGTGATGAATTTTACTGTTCCACCGGCAAATTTTTGCTCAAGGAACGCTGCAACAGATTAAATAGAATCACATCTCTTACCGGAAATTCATCAATTCATTCAGACAAATATACCTCACGTCCAACATACCTTCCAAGCACTTGAATGTCATCGTGGCACTGAAATTTTTCTTTCCTACGCCTTTCTTCGTACGACCAAATCCACTGTAATGTCCCTGAACCTCCTTCTTGATTAATGTTGGCATAATGATTTTAATGTTCTTCTCATAATCATTAGAACCTTGTGTCTTGAGTTTCATTATGTTTTTCTGAAAACAGAAATAATAAAGGACAATATATTCAAGGATACATTGAGAAAAGCAAATTGCAAGTTATCAACATAATTTACTAGTGACTTGGGGAAATGTTGAAAGTAGTTTTTCCCAATTATCTTGATAATGAAACATGTGAGGGAAAAATGTCAAGAGACAATTTTTGTTGGAGATAGAAGTAGCTACAGAGGATATACCTTGGCCTTTTCTTCTCAAATTGATTTTTCCTGAGATAATTGCATAATTATCTCTTTAACGAAACATCTTAATGATCAACAAATTATATTTTGGTAATCAATTAGAAAATTCTCTAGGTAAAGAGTGATTTTGAGATAAAATTTGAAGACACATCATTGGTTTGAAATTCGATCAGCTGTGAAAAAGTCATTTTGACATTTCCACCTAAAATAACTAGTTCTCCAGATAATTGTATTATTAACCAAAACTCTTGTAATATGTAAACCAATCTTATTCTGTCCATTTATTGATTGCCTCAATAATGAGTGATTCTAGAGGTAAATGTCCAGAGATATGTTGTGGGAAAAAAATCACCTATAAAAAAGTCTCTTGACATTCTCTCCTAGAAGCACTCGTTGCTAAGATGGATAATTCAAAGAACAATGTCTGAATTGACTTTTTAAGGATCACTGCTTCATTATTGGCATGAGTTATTCAAGGAATTTACCAGAGCTCCTTGGTTCTGCAGTGCAGCATCGGGATTGGCTGGGTTCGCCTCATCCTTGGGATCCAACATTTTCTCGAATTTTTCAAAATCCTCCAAAGTCGCTATGGGGAATGCTACTCCTGGGATATCTGATGGAGAACTTGGCTCATCGCCTGTGGTAACTTGAGTAGGGAACGAGACCTTCAAGTCTTCCATTTTCCTACCCAAGTCGTGCTGTTGCGTCCTCCTAGAGTTCTCAATATCGTTCTGCACCTTTGAAGCCCATAATTCCATACTTGTATCCAGATAGCGACAAAAGCTAGAAAAAATTGATAAACGTCGTAGGTGCTCGTTTCATTAATTTTTTTCGTTTCTATTATTCTTGTGCATACTTTTGTTAGAATCTCCTTGCACCAGCTGGCGTAGAGTTTCGAGACGTTTTTTAAGTTCGATTCTTCTCTCTCCTTTGGTCTGGGTCACATTTGTTGCTGCATTGTCAATTTACTTCTGAATCAAGTAATTTCAGGGAAGAATGCCGGAAGATGAGAAAATGTAAAAAAAAAATTATCATAGCTGAAAAAATTCTCAACAAACAATGTCTCTATTGGAATTGGATAGAAAAATAAATGATAAATTCAAGGTAAAACGGTCCAAGTCAATTTCATCCTGGCGTCAGTCTTCGATGAATATCTCGGAATCTAAGGGAGATAGCGCAACTCTCATGAAGACCTTTTTTGTAGAGTGGAATAAGGGCTACAAAAAAGTCCTCATAAAAACGTCTCTATCTCCCATAGATTTGGAGATATCCATAGAAAACTGACCCTAGGATGAAATTGACTTTAACCGTTGTACCAATTCACTACTGAATTCAGTGGATTGTTTTTTTTTGTCTTGATCTTTTCATTAATTACACACGAGGAAGTCGTTGGTTTTTATGAAGGGAAAAACTACACAAACTTTTTCCTGCACCCGAGAAAAAATAATTATTGATGAATAATTTTCATACATTTTGATATCAGAGTTATAGCAATTCATTATATTATCATCCATCAGATACATTCATGAAATTCGAAATCTCTAGTGAAGCCATTGATTCAGAGAATCAAAATCATCATTTTTACGTTTGGTGAGATATTGAGTTATTCGTGGAGCAACGAGATTGCATAATCTCGATCCTCAATTCTGATCAATATGCACTTTTGTTTGACATTTTGCAATGATAAAAATTTTAATGAATCAGACAAATGTTCAATAGCAAAAATTCCAACATCCTTTGAAGGACACGGCGTGATGAAGGCATTCGTTGACCTCTCAACTCTGAAACCCTCCACAAAAATGTCATCAGTGTTTCTCACAATCATTGAACACTTTTGTTTGATAAACAATTTTTCAATTATAAAAATGTCGTTATCGGAAAGCTGTACGATGTTATCAGGGCGTTTAGAACACAAAATCTTGTCTTTATATGTGACAGAATTGAATGACACGAATTTTTCCCCATTAAAATCTGTAGTTTCTATGACTTTACTTGCAGTGAGATCACTAATCGGCTCACGTTTCCTTATTTTCACATCTTCCGAAGAATCTAAGGCATAGAGGCGATTGATGATCTGTGAGAGAGGTCTAATTTTAGAGCTAACAAGATTCTTCAATCTCCCTATGAAATTCTCTCCCCAAAAAGCAGAATAATGACTTAGGCTTGTCTGAAAATATTTTGCATCATTTCCTAGATGACCAAGGTGATGGATAACCATTGTCTGCGACTCTAAACTTTGGCATTAGTTTTTAAACTTAGTATGTTGGCATTAATTTTACGAAATTGTCTAAAAATTGAGCGGCCATCTCAGTATGTTTAATCACCCACTCATTGTTGCAAAGAATACGAGCAGCGACGTGTAACAAAAGAAAATGTCGGTATTTATCTGTATCGAGAACATTCTTGAGGACAATACCCCCAACATACGTGAGTAAAAATGAGTATTGCGTGGCTTTCCAGTGTAGAAAATCATCCACATCGAATTTTTTACGTTGAAATTCCTTAGTAACAAATGGTATCAGTGACTCCATTGCTGTCTTGAATATTTGAAGTTTTTCTTTTGGCAATTTGTACTCATTTTTTTCTCTAGTGACCCACTTATCACCGAGGTTTTTCATGACATTTAAATACAACAGATGCATGATTTCCAGAGGTACATCTTTTATTGAATGAAACCCAGGAATTCGAATTAATGGAGACACTAAAGTTTGCTTTGTTGCTGGATCTCTCAGGTGATGTTGAATTTGAGTTTGATTACAAAACGATTTCTTTGTTCGTAACGAGCAGTTCAAATTAGGATAAACTCTTCTCCTATTAACGGTCTTCCCCTTAGTGGTGCATTTTTCGCAGCCCCAGTATGCAGTTGGACCTTTGATAGGGGAGGATGGGGCAAAACGGCCCCCCTTCAATCGTCAGGATTTTCCGATTCAATAATCCGATTGGGATGAGTTAGAGCTCGTTTTGAAGAATGAAAAATTATCTTCAAAATGAAGTTGAAACTGGGAATTTTCAAAATGTCATTCACAAGTTATTGACAATTGAAGGGGGGCCGTTTTGCCCAACCCTCCCCTACATTTGAGAGAAGCTCTTGCTAGGCTGTCTGCAATTATTGATTTTAATTCAAATCGGTATTTTTGTCCTCTAATAGTTACACCTTCATTAATTAGTGTTGTTGTCTCCTGCACAAAGTCCTCTAAAAATTCACCATAATTCTTAGGCTTTGAATTTCCATAGAATGCAGCCACAACAAAAGGCTTCACTATGTATTTTGGAGCGAAAATCCTCATTGCAATTGGCCATAATTGTTCTTTAGAGTGTTTAAACACCTTCATCCCATCAATATGCACCTGCACTGGAATAGCTGCTTCACCATAAACCTCTGCAATTATACGACTCTCCAAGCCATTCTTTATACCAAGATATACGTAGTTACCGATGCTTCCTTTAGAAGAGATGAATTGTTTTGTCTTAATTTTGTGTTTGAACCCCAGTAACTTAGATGCTGTCCGAGGTAGTTCAGTGTATCCTACACTTCTCAGAACTATCAGAATCTCAGTGATGGTCCTCAATCGTGTGCCTATTAAATTGTCCAGACCCCATTTACGAATTTTTTCTTCCATACTTTGAGGTTTGCATTTAGGAGGTTCAGTGATCGAGGCGTCCATCTGATCAGCAATTGAAATCTCTGCTGACACTTGCTGTTGACTAGAGATATCCATTCTTTCCTCACAAGTTTCTGAATTGAAGGAATCATTCGGTGTGGAGGCACCGAGACACTTTTCACCCAACAATGACCCATGACTCGATGCAGTGGTTTCTTTTTCACTATCAATAACCACATCCTCACAGCCATATTCCTTTGCATCCACCCACTCATCTCCACTGTCCACATTGGCAGTCCTTGGTAGTCCAGTAAATTTATCGTCTTCAGCACTATTATTGAAACTAGCGTTGTCATCTAATTCTCGCATTTTTCGTAAATATCGATGTTTTCTGACCCTCTCCCGAGAACTACAAAATTTACGCCAAAACATTTTTTATTGATCAATGAAAAAGACTCAATACTAATTTTCACAACACGTTCAAGAGGTTATGATGGTAATTCAACGAAATTGTTGTGATGGTTACCAACAGGGGGCGCCACTAGAGTTGCAGGCAGAACGGTGGAAATTTGAGATTATTGAATGTGTACAATCAGACATAATAACGTGACGATAAGACGGCGGGCACTTGTCCTAGGACTTTCTAGCCAGAGTCATGAGCTTTGGAGACAAAAAGAGATGATAGTTCAAGTCATCCGAGCTCAAATGAGGTTCGTGGAGGAAGACCAAGGCTAGCCATCGAGCCTGAATACTGAGGATAGTATTTACGAGTCACGAACGCCGGATGTATCTTGGTTGAACGTGCTGAGTTCAAACTAGGAACGTCCAGCTTGGACCTGGATTTGTACAGCTCCGGACTCCAACCTTGGAATTGTACGTGCCACGAAGCTCGGATTTATCTTGGTAAAGAATGTTGAGCCAAGCTTGGTTGAACGCCCCGAGTCCAAGCTTGGAATATTAAGCTTGGAACTAGATTGGTACAGCCTAGGACTCCATGCTCGGAATGGTAGGGTAACACCAAGCTTGGAAATACCTGGGTGTAACCATAGGATTAAGCGTGGTCGAAGCTAGGTATACCGAGGTTTGGTAATCCAAGCTCATACCAAGCTTGGCCCCATTGTTCAAGCTCGGAATTCCCCACCTGGGTAATAATGGCCCACTGACCATTCATATTGAGTTGTTCGTCTAAATAGTAAAACGACAATATCCTCGATGGAAAGTGAGGAATAGGCCAAGATTTATCAAGAATAAAACAGAATAAACAGTGTTTACGAAATTTTTTTGTAACTAATTTATCAACAATCAATTTTCTCTCATAAAAATCATTTGGTCGGAATCCTAATTTATTCACATTCAAAATTTTATCAGAAATCAATTTTATGCCTAAAAAAATGAGGTTCCGGAAGTTTAAATAATTTCAATGATTCATTTATAAGCAATGAATGTTTAAAAAAAAATAATTGTGTGCAAAAATGACGATGATTCGAATGTCGCAGACTATTCATGATTTTCTCAAATTTTCCTCACGCAATTTAATTGACAAATTTGATGATTGAAAATGATTGAATCTCTAGTGTGGTCTACACCAAACTGTAAAAGATATGTGGGAATCCATAATATTTTTTGTACCGTTGCATTTTGCCTTTTTTGTCCTTTTTTATCCCTCTGAAATTTGTAAACAAGGTGTTGACGTCGTCCTGTACAATGAGTGAAACGCAAAATCTAACGGAAAATACCGAGCATGCGAATGACTTCGTAATTTAACTGGCAATTACAATTACCCTAAATTTCTGTATAGTGACTCGCAAATGCGTTTGTAGCATGAAAACTCATTCTGTTGCTCGGAGTGAAAATTCAATTATCAGGAGGTCTTTTCAAAGGTCCTGCAGTAATTGAAAATTCAATCATGTGATGAAATTAGTATTCCTTGAACATAACGAAAATGGTCTACTTGACTTTCAAACTCGGGTATTCCATCAGCACTCCTGAGTTCACGGTAACACCACTCCATTTTCGGTTCATGACAGAGTTTATTGAATATACAACGGTTTGCAATACCAGATAACACAGATGTTGGTAAGATAATACAAAGAAGACATGACCTTCGTCTCTCTCTCTCTCTCTCTTCTCATATTTGAATGAAGATTTTTTCCGGATTCATGATATGTTCAGACAGCTAAAGCCGTCAAACAACAATGGAAGAGACGAGCTTTTAATCCTCCTATTAAAAAATTTCAAAGGAGGAAACTGAATTCTCTTATCTAAACTTGAGAACGAAGAATTGCAAATAATTCACCTCATCACAAGAAAATGACAATCCGGAATGAAACAT